GTACTAGGTGGACTACCACCACTTGACCACTTGCCTTTGTGTAGCGCAGGCTCACTCCGAAAGGCCACTTCTAGAAACCTCTAACTTGGCCTTTCGGTACTGTAGCAGCTACGACTTTGCCCTTTCAGGTAAGTAGCAGCTACGACCTTGACCCTTCAGGCAGCCTATAGCTACGACCTCTGAACTGCCTAGGCTCCTACCTTACAGGTCTACAGTTCGAATCCCTTCTACCCTGTGACCTACGAAAACCTACCCACCACTGGCGGTCCTACAGGTAGCAGGTTCAAATCTACGGGTTGACACTGGTACTGTACACAGGTAAGATGGGGAGCTAGGGATCGAGCCCTGGGATCTGCATCAGCTACTTCGAACTGGTGAATACCGTTTCAGTTGCGTGGATCGGACCCCTCGCAGAGGCCCACTGGAGCCCTTGCGGAGGCCATGATGGCCAGAAATACATGCGTGGACCTACTTTTGCGTAGCTGGCAGACCCCGCGCCCACGACAGTTGGTTATGCAGCGGGGAGCCTTTATTCAGAGGCTGTGTGAACGGGCCGATAGAGAGGCCCGGATGTCGGTACGTCACGCAAGGCCAACCGGCCAATGAGGAAGCAGCGAACACTGTCCGCCACGTCGAACACCTCTGGGCCTCTAACCAATTCGGGCCCCGGCCGCTGTCTGAAACAGGGCCTGGGCGCAGCTACTGGGTCTGCACGTGAAGCTACTGGGAACCACACGTGCAGCAGCCATGCAGCCCCACGCGGGCAGCTACTTTCTACAAAAGAAACTGCCTGCCGGCAGTCCACACATTCTCTGGATGGAGGCTATATGCGTGAGTGCTGCCTGATTGCAGGCTCACGGGCAGCTGGCCGCTGGCTGGGTACAGGGGCACACGGGTGTAGGGCGCTGGGCTGCTGGGCTTAGCTCACGAGGGAGGCAGCCATAGCCGGACTCCTCTCCCTGGTTGCCAGTGGGGTTGGTCGTGGGCCTTGGGCACAGTGGTAAACCTGTGAGGGGACAGTCAAGGGTTGAGCCCGGCTATGCTTGCCTCTTCCCTGGGAGAGAGGAGGACGTACCTGGCGTGTCGTGGAGGTCTGCATGGGCGACATCTTCATGTGAATCAGTTTCGCTGCTGAAGTTCGTCTGGTTGCATCGTCATAGTGTAGACTAGGTTAGGTGTCGTTAGTCCGTGGTTGGGCTCCAGGTGCCAGTTGGATGAGGGACATTGGGTATTGTTGATGGTGGTGAGACCGGGGCTGTCATTGACAATGGTGTTCATTGCGCTTTGATCTTATTTGGTCTGTAACTCGGTGCATTCTGCTTTCTGTGAGACTTGCGACTACCTGGTTTTCAATGTGATGATGCAATTTGGATTTCTGTCATTCCCTCTCTCGCTCATTTTCCTTGCAATTCCTCCCCCCCCACCCCCTCCCTGTTTGTTTTGTTCTGATGCAGCCTGTGCGGTCAAGACATTTGTTTTCCAACTTTTCCAGGTTTTTTTTTTTTGGGTGCTGTGGCGGCCTGTGACCTGGCTGAGCACATTGCCTGGGACCTGCGTAGCAGCACCCCGTTCGCCTTCGGGGGAGAACACGTACGTTCTCCGGAGTATTACTCCAAAAATCGAAAAACGCGAAAAAAAATACACAGAAAAATGTAAATTGATAATGCAAAAAAAAACAACTTTTCCCTTGGAGGCATCTCCAAATTCTTAGCCAAATGTGAGCTAAAATTAAAAAAAAAGTGAGTACGGACGCCGCCTGGCCGGGCGGGCCCGGGTGGGCCGCTCAGGCAAACCGGGCGGGCAAAAAAACAGCCCAGAAATATATATATATATATTGCACGTGAGAGGCACAGTGGAGGTGGAGTTCAAAGAAGAATGAGAAATTTAATGGTTTCAATCTGCCCTTGTTCTTTCTTTTTGTTTTTATTTTTGCATGTTATCACTGTGCCCGTTTTTTGCTTTTATTCTTTGTTCCGCAAG